ATTAAGTTTCAACTCTGGCTGTTGACAATTCAATCGAAAACTGAAAAAATAAAAAAATAAAAGAAAGATTCAGAGCTACAGTAAAGAAATTCTTCTTGCAAAAAATTGACCGGGTTTCAATTTGTTAAGAGCAAAAATACATTTCATTTCTGCTTAGCAACACCCTTGATTCTGTTGACCAAGGAAATTATAATTTAACCGCAGTTTACTTAAGACGATTTGCTTGCGACGTGGATTTCAATTGATAAATATTTACTTTGCTACTTCAAAGCCACTTCTTTGACTCAAGCGTCTCAAAAAAAGGGGATGTCGTAGATGGAAATTAAATTGCAAGTCACACAAAGATGTCTTTCAACAACCTCGGGTCTTTTAAATTTATTTAAATATTTAGCTATTCTTATTAATTTATATAATTTTCCACAGGGACCTCTGGAATTTTCTGTGTAAACAAACCGCACACCATAATTTAATTCTGAAATAACATGTTCAGAGAGCCCATGGGTTTAGGGTTGGCCGCATAGAATTTTGCCGATTTCCACACCACAGCAGGCCCTTCATGTACATTTAGCGGGCAAGCATTTGGAAGGCCATAATTAGACTTGGGGGTGGAAAAGTACGTCTCCGGCAGTGGGTCGACCTCAAGCAGGAGCGGCGACTGACATGGAAGGGTTCTCGGAAAACAATTTTTCACCTGCTTGGCCGAAATTAATTATTTGCCCGTTTGCGGTCGGCAACTTTGCTGCCCCCGCAACAACAAATTTATATAATTCCGTCTCTGGCGTCTGAGTGCGCCATTATCCCACTCTCGGCGCCTCTTTGGTATGCAAATTTATACGCACGCATTAATTGTGTCAGTGTGTGTGTGTACGCACTAGAGGCGGAGAATGAACGGCGAGCAAGGCAAGAGAGAATGGCTCTATTATAGTGATTCGCCGCTCGTCCTTATCATTTAAAACACACACACGCGCGCCCGCGCTTCGCTGTCATAGCGAGACTCCAAACATGACTGTGATTTATCGCTCGCTACGTGCCCTGGCGAAAGTGGAGAATAATAATATTGGATATCCGAATCTAACGCTTCCCCTGTGACGTGAGATGGATCATGCATTTTAATTCCAATTTTCCGAGTACCCTCATCAAAAAAGTCAAAATCCAGGGCTGGGAAGGAGGACATGAGATTTAACATTTTTATGGATTATCCGTTATCTAGGCAAAAAAATAATTAAAAATTTTTATGATTCTAGACTTTTCTTTACCATTATTCAATAATATCTGCATTTCCTTGTGTGCAACCTCAATTTTTAAAATAATTTAGATATTTGTCTCTTAACTAAGGATTTTTATTATAGATTTAAAATATTTTTTAACTTATAAATATAATAAATGAGACTTTATGTTAAAATTATATATAATTTATGTTTGTTTATTCATTTATTTACACAATTATTTACTAATTATATTTGTATACTCTCCATTTTATGTCGATTTTTACCAAAAATTTCATAAAATTTAAATTATTGCCGGTTTTTAATTCTGCAGACATTTTTTGTAAATTTTCCATAATTCTCTTTTAAGTAATTTTGGAATCATTTTTTGAAAATTCAAATAACAATTAATGTATTATGAATGACCTGTGTTCCGGGAAACACTTGATAATATAATTTGGTTGGAATTTAATTCCTAGTTTAATCAAATAAATTTGCATTTCTAGCGCTAGAAACTATATCCAAAATACGCAGCTTATTATGAATTCTAAAACGTAAATTAAATTGATTCTATGTTTAATTTCAACATAAAATTCAGGATAAACACAGAGCCTCATTGACTCTGAAATGGTAATTGGAATGAAATCCAGGTCGGTCTATTTACGCAGCAAAATGTTAATTAACTCGCAGCAGATGTCCCGTTGCTGACGCGCAATAAACGCCTGCGAATATTGATTGTTCGCTTGCTCGCCCGTTGTTTCCGACAGCTAATGCACAACAGAGAACGAATAATGGCACCCCCAACAACGTAAGCCACCGCACCGCCGACCCCTGCCTTCGGTGCCTGCCGAGGTGTCGGTTGCGAAGGTGCGGTCTCGCACATCTGGACCCGCTCGACCGTTTAACACCTACCCTTTGTTCGTCGGCAGAATGAAAATTCCGCAGTGAGCGGAGAGAGAGAAAGAGCGCCTGCCGGCGACGAGGGTAGGCAGCCGGCGCGACACACACGTCGGCCGGCAAGCCTAAGCCTTCTTTTTGCTCTCGATTTAACTCGACAAGTTCGGTATGCGACCGCTCTCTGACTTCTGCGACTCTCTTTAGAGAGAGAAAACTTGTTTGAAAGGAATATTTTTTGGCTGACAAAAATGGATTCTAAAAGCTTCTACGCTGAAGAGGGAGATTTTGGAATAGTTAAAAACGGTTAAAAAGCAAAGATTGTTTTTTTTTACAATTTGATTTAATTAAATATCCAAAATAGCTTGATTTCAAGCATTTTTCTTATTTTAAGAAGGATGAAATTGAAAAGTTATTGGACTGGTCCAATATTTAATAAGACAAGCCTTTTTGTTAACTCTTGACTCATAATTATAATAATGTTTTATGTACAAAGCCAAAATTTTAATTACCACTGAAAAACTCATTATAAGGAGGAAGAGACCTTCATAATTTCTAAAAAATAAATATCTTGATTAATATTCAGGATCTTCAAATTCTTCAAGGTTTTTAAGGAAAATTTTAATAACTTTTTTATTCGATAATCTTTGGTTGTATCCAAAATAATAATCAATACTCCTTAAAAATTTCCTCAGTAAATAATTAGTAAAAAGTTTTGCAACAATATCGAGACGTAAATTGATGATTATTTTAGTTTTATTTCATTTTCCATTTTTTTCTGTTTATTTGGTTAACTTGAATTTTTTTTGGCAATTTAATTTGTAATACATATCGTAATTTTATATTTTTCTTTAAACAAACATTGCTTAAATTTCTATTAGAAATAAAACAAGTTTTTATACTTAAATTTGCCCTTTATAAATAAAATATTTTCAAAAAATTTTCAATTCAATAATTAGTTGTTAATTTGTTAGTGTGTGTGTTTTTTTTTGTAATTTTATCAACAAACCATAATGCAAATAAACTACTATTATTGTTGTACTGCTCCATTTGTTGTTATCAAATGGAATTATTTACATTCACTTTCATTGAATAGAAAGCACAATTCTGCAATGATATAAATAAAGTTATCAAATTGTGGAATTTGTTTTGACAGAATTTTGCACTAACTTTTGTGCTGAAAGTCTGGTTCTCTGGATCGAATCCAACCTTACATGGCCCAGTTTAAAACGGGAGTTACGGATTATCCCCGGAAACAAATGGTTCGTCGTGCACGAGTCTCACGTTTTCTCATTTCTGGCAAAAGTCGTGCTTTGCGAGTTGGGGAACAACGCGTCATAAAACGTCGCCAGATTTTCCCCCGGGTGACTCAGATGGCTTATCCGAACGAGGGCTGCTCGCGGGTACAATCGCCTCTCTCTCTCTCGCAGAACTCGCAGCTGCATCATTACATTTCTCAATTTCCTGCTCTCGGCGCCTAACTCCTCTCGAAAACTAATTTCGCCCTCGCCTGAACACACGTCCGTGCATGCAAGGCCTGTTTTAATTATCGGCGTTGCTCGATGACACGAACGTAAACTGCGAGCGATCAACCTCCACGGCAGGTGCAATTCAGCGAAAAGCAGAGTGCATCGGAGCGCTGCTGTTTTTCATTTTCATTTTTCTTTTTTTTTTATTCCTCCCTGTGCTCCCATATCGCGAGTCGGAGTGCAATAAGAGGAAATGCATACTTCATGAGCGAGCGAGAGAGAAAATATGTTGTATGACGAGAGAGCAACCAATTGGAATTATTTTGCGCTCAACAAAAAAATATTCTTTGACTTAATTTTGGGCGGTGTATTTTTATTTTTTGTAAATTTTTAAAGCCAAAACAGCTTTTTGACCATGTCATAGCGCGTTATTGGCTCTGAAATGCAACGGAGCGGCTCAAGAAAATTTGTTAAAAAAAAATGAATTTGACGTTGCTCGGCTCCCTTCCGCATGATAAAAGCAAAGGACGTTGGGTTATTGTCCGGCTGGTCCGGCATTCAAGCAAGAGGGCCTATCAGTAAATTATTGCGCATGAATGATTTAACCGAACGGGAGATAGTGGGGCTTGAACATCTCTCATGCATGAAATAATAGCCTCCGCGTGAATTCATAAGCAAGTACGTTACACTACCAATACGCACTGCTAGTGCTCTTATCGCCTCTTGTACTTCTTATGGCATAATATGAAAATAAAGAAAAATAAAACATATAAAAAATAAAAAGTCTTGAATGGTGTCACTCAATTACCTTAAGTGAGGGGATTTTAGTTCATTTTTCCAATTGAATATTGCAAATAAGATGTTTCAATTTACCTTGTTTTTTTCTACCAAATTGCAAAAATTATTTAATTCTTATTCATAATTGCAATCATTTATTTTTGTTCTCGCGCTTCTCGCCAATAAATAAATAGCCAAGTATTACGTGAAACCACTTTACCTATATCTTTTAATAAGTTATTATGAATTGAAGAACATAATAAATGTAATTATAAAATAATGAAGAGTTATTAATGTCTTAAAATTTGATCAATTTAACATATCTTTCAATATTGACCTAAAATACTTTTTTTAACTTACCAATGAATTAAAGTCTATAGAAGCCATTTAAAAAATAAAATAGAAGTTAGGAGGCTGTATTATTATATTATTTTACGTTGGCGGCGCCGTTCCAGACGCTTCTTATTTCTTATGTAATATATCATCATAAACTGGATATACGAAATGCACTCATTTCATTACACAGCGAACACTAGTTTCAAAATTGGTTCGTGTTGCTCAAGGCAGTTACGAGCCAGACTGTGGCGAACGTGGCAACAAATTACACCACTTGGAGTCCCGCGAGACAGAAAGAAGCGATAAATTTCCGACTCACCGTCCACTGAGCGTAAGTGCTGGCCGGGTCGACGAAGGGCCACTTGGAGGGCAGCCAGGACTTGTGCGTCTTCGGGGTGGAGGCGGTGGTCGGGGGCGGCCTGGGCCGTCTCTCGGTGCTCGCCGTCCTCCAGGTGGTCATTTGTTCCGTGGTGGTGCTGGTCGTCGTCGTCGTCGTTGAAGAAGAAGAAGAGGAGCTGCTCGAAGGAGTCGGCGAAGTCATTTCAGGGGCCTCTGCTTCCTCTTCTTGGTCGGCGGGGGCGGCACTCGGAGGCGGCTCGGCCGTGACCAGAAGGACGACGTCGGCCGGAGACGTCGTGCTGAGGTTGTTGATGTCTTCGGCGGCGGCAAAGGAGCTGGCGGTCGTCACCGAGAAGTTGAAGGCGAGCAGCTCGGGGGTGGTCGGGGGCGTGGAGGCGGCGGGGGCGGGCCGCAGAGGCCGGTGGTGCGGCGTGCGGATCACGATGCTGCTGGAGACGAGGAAGGGCACGATGACGGCGGCGACGACGCCGCCCACCAGCACCACGCAGATGGCCACCAGGACGGCGCTGCGGCCGCACGCCGTGCCCTCCTTGCGGCCCCCGAAGGCCGCCTCCGTGTCAAGGCCGGCGTGGCCGCCGTCCTGCTGGGGCAGGATGGTGTACTGCAGCGAGTTTTCGCCATGCCGCACCGTTTTGTACATGGTGGTGAACTGTTGCGCCTCCGACCGCCGCTCCACTTTATATCCGGCAGGGGAGGTGTGCGCCCGCCGCCTGCGCGCACCCCAACCCCCAATCGATAGATCCGCCGACCGCCCCTGGGAGCGCAACACACAACGTATACCATCGACACTCGCCGATATCTCGCTGACACCACGCGCACCCACTGCTAATAACTCCCTTCTTGTTCCCACAAACGTCCTTTGATGAAACCGCCACTTTCAAAGCAAGTTATTTTTCATGGCGTTGATTGCAAGAAAAATTATTTTTTAATATTGTAAATTAAAAAGATTCGTTTTTTATTTGAATTTTAACTGCAAAGACTTAAATTTGCAAATTAAGTAATTTTATATTAGAGAAATACTTTGGTATTAAAATTCTTTTATAAACCAGATTTTTTCAACAAAAAAGAGAACATGATTCAATCGATCTATAATTATCTATTTTTTAATATTATTGAACTGTAAACTATTTATTATTCAGGTTTAAAAATTTAATTTCTAAATCAAGAAAATTTATATTTAATATATTCGAAAGGTCAATTTTTATAATTTTAGAAAAGCTGATAATGTACTAGATCTAATATTTAAAAAAATTGGTGATAATACAAAATTTTGCAATTAGATAAGAAAAATTTAACAAATTTAATAAAAAAGTACGTATGTATAAATAACGATTAATGATCTCCAATAATTTTTTTCCTGTGTATGATATTTAAATTAATGATTTTTTTGTATGTATTGTATAACCTATTAAAGGCAGTAATTGCAGCTTCCTAAAGATAAATCAATAAAGACACTTTGAAATTATAGTTTACTAGTTATTTTGTAATAATTTATCTTTATTTATAATCTATTGACCCAAATCCAATTGAGGAAACGTCATAAAAAAAAATCAATAGTTTAAACTAGCGATTGGTAAATAGTTAATAATTTAAATTTTTAATAATTTATTGTGTATTTATTGTGCAATTTCGTTTGAAAAGAGCAATTAGGACGATCCGAAAGGATGATTTTACCCGCCGAATGCAGTTTAAATTGGTGAGTTAAGTTATCCTGAGCCACATAAAAAACTATAAGAAAGTGGGAAGAACTGCTGCAAAAAAATTATATCAAGATAAAAGAGCCGAAATGAGACCAGTTTCCTTGGTTGACGAAGTAATTTGTCACTAACGGCAAAATTTTTTCACAGTGATAAAATTATGTGTGTTTCATCCTTCCTTTTTTATATTCAATTAACCTGAGTGATTAATTAAACTTTCCATCTAGAATAATAAATTATAATTCTGCCATTGTATTTGGTGAAAGTTTTCAAATATGAGAAAAACTTCAGGATAGTAAATGAATCACCAGGAGTTGAGCAGACTCCATGATGAGAATTTTTTTTAAATATAATGATTAATGATGTATGTATGACTTGAGTAGAATAAACAAACAACAATTTTACTTTTTCTGATTTTTCTTTTAGAGATACACATTGAAGCAGAAAATAGACCTAGCTTAGTCCTTGTAGTGCGAGACGTCATTATTTTCAGTTATTTTTTAAGGACACTCTCGGTGCGAGTCGGTACAACTCTCCATCTCTTTTTGCGTCTTAGCATTTGCGTTTTTTGTGTCGAGTGTGCGGGCGCAGAAGCAGTTTGCGCCGGTGAGCCGCGGCCGACGAAGAAATTGCGCTGGCTGGCGTTTCCAACCAAGTTTCGTCGCTGCTTTATTATATTCAAATTGCCTCGGTCGTTTCGGCCCGTTATCTGCCTAGCTAGCGTTTTATATATGTATTATTATACAAACCGGCGAGATCATGCAAACGGCAGCAAGGCATGCATGCAACCCTCTCTCACAAAACAAAACTCGGTCGCTCGCTGCGATTTATTGGCTTAATGAAAACACGCTCAGCCGCGGTCTCTCGCCTCCACTTCAATTGCCGACGAACACATTATGTACGCGTTTTTATGTACATGGAAATTCAACTCGCTCTCAGCTGCTTGCTTTTTTCGCGGAAAAACTAGTATTGGAAATGGGAACGCGCGCATGCTTCACAATCGGAGAAAGCAGCGCAGACTAAAGACGGATCTCGACCAAATTTAATAATGTTGAAATGGTGAATTGCTCAGCTTTAAAAGAACAATCAATAATACTGGCATGTGAGAGGTTTATCAAAATATTATTTTTTTTACATCATGTACATAATTATTACAAAAGATATCCTAAATGTTTAATTTTTTTCTGAAAATATTTTTAAATGATAAAGTTTTAACTATTCATTGATTTATTCATTTTTTTCTGTTTATTTTTGTAATATTTTTGCAAATTCTGAAATACATGCTTGTCAAACGTTTTTTTACCTTGAAAGTTTAGAGTGCGTTTTAAAAAATAATTATGCGTTCAAAGCTGTACTTACTCTGGAAGAAATAATTTATTCCTCGTTTAAATTGTTTTTACTCAAAACTTTATTGTCATGGAACTCTATTTCCGATTAAGGAAGTAGATTGAAGGATAAAATCAGCTAGAAGTCGATTGCCTATCCCGCGTATTCAAAAGTAAAATCGCCAAAGTTTGGAACACATAACTCTCAGGAAAATGGAAATTTAGTTGATAGGTCAAGGGCCATGATCAAATAAAAATTATTTTCAGCTTTTCAACAAATCCTTTCATTTATGGCTATGAGTTTTCATTTTCAATTTGAAAATTTTTGTTTTAATTTTGTGATGGTCGGTTTTTATTTTTCTTTCCTGCAATGACTTCAATTTCTTATTATTTTTTTTACTTTCTAAAAACGTTATTTATTTCACATTATTTATTATTACATGAATTTACACAAAATTTTTATTTTGGAAAATTGTAGGAAGTTTGCCGTTAATATTTTGTGGTTTTTTCTGTTATAAATGAGAAATTAGTCCCTTGCAGACGTTCCAAGGTAGGCGGCACACGCAGGGCAGTAGTGATAGGCATCCCTGCAGCTTTCAATACAATAAGGAATAGGGGCGCAGCACCAGCAACTAATAAGAAAAACCAAACAAATGACTTGGGAAAATAAATAAAACGCCTTGTCTGAAGAGCAGATTATATTATTTTGAAAATTGTGCTAGGCTTACCCAAAGAGGCACAGAAGAAGCGCAATTATATGCGTCATAGTTCCACTTTTGTGTTCAACCCTTGTTTGTATATTTGCCTGACACGACGGGCAAACATATCTGCTTGACTCTGGCGGTAAAGAACCTGAGCAATTAATAACAAATATCAGCGATTTGATAGTTAAAAAAAATTGTAAAAATAATTTAATACTAATATGTTGATATATTATTTAAACTTTATTAATTGAGGCAAAAATTTAAAATCGAAATTAAATTAAGTATATACTGACTAATCACCATCACCACAGGAGCAGTTGGTGGTGAATCCATGTTATTCAGGGGCTCCCGAAAAAACTCAATCGACGCTATTCCTGCTGGAGGATTCTGCATCGGTGGTCCTCCGCCATGCATTAATTCTTGTTCTCTGTAACTTGGATTCATCGCGTCGGGCACAGAAAGCAAGTGAGGAGGAAAAGCAGCTTGGGAATCAAGTTAACTTTTCTTATCCTGAAAGCATATCCTGTTACCATTACAATTCTTTTATCCTATTTTGTGTTTATAATTCTCCAGCATTGGAAAAACCACCAAACTCGATTCAATCGATCCTGATAAATTTAAGATAAGAGCGCGCAAACATAACATATTCACCACTCAACAATTTCCTGCTGTGTAAATCTTAAAAGAAAAAACTTTATGATAAGCCTGTAAGGTTTTAAAGTGAAGTCTGATGTTTGAAACTCGAAAGCTAAATTTTCCTATTCCTATGAAAGAGCGGATGTGTGTTTTTTTTTTAAGCAATGAAAAGAGTGAACTTTGAAGAAAGGAAATAATACTTTTTATTCCTTAGCATCTCATATAATATATTTTAATCCAAACATGAACCACCTTATTTTATAATTATGATACAATTAATTCAATATGGTGAGCGTTTCAGCGCCTCTTTCCCTTCTGAAAACCCCAGAGTTCCTCCTAGCCGCCTCCAAGTGCCGCAGTTTAGCAGCAAAAATTCTGAAAGTTAATGTTTATTTTTAAGTTGCAAAAGTTTTTGAAGTATAAATAAAAGGCTACTTTTCAACATTTTCCCAGAGCTGTGCCTGTCTTTCGTTGGCCGGCTCGTTGTCCTTCATGGTTCTCTGCACCTCCTTCAAGTGTCGACCGCGCTTCTCTTCCTCGGCAATTTTCGCGTTTAACCGATCCCTGTAATTTTGCATCCAAATTATTGGTCAACTTGTGGAAGCGGAAAAAAGTGACCTGAGAGATTTGGCTTTGTCACCGGCCTTGTAATAAGCCATCTCTTGCTCTAGCATCTCCTTCTGGGCGCCGACCACTTCCGTTTTGGCCTCGAGAAGGGCCGCCTCCGCCGACGCTTGCCGCGTTTCCTCTTCAATTTGCTTAATTTCCTGCAATTTGCCTCAATTAATGTGTCGCCAACGGGAGCCAGAATTAATTATTAAATAAACACACACGGGTCTCGCACATCAATGAATTTGCAGGTGCGTGGGCATCGCAAATACCAACAAGGAAAACAAAGGGTTCGAACCTGCTCGATTTTGTTGCTGGCCGAACCGATGTTGGCCGCCGTCGCGTCGTACTGCTGCTTTACCTTGTTGAAGTCGGCCAAGGCGGACTGGTACTGCTCCCTCAAAGGACGTAGTTCTACAAATCCACGCAATTTTAAACATTTTCAAAATTAATTTAAACCTTCCCTCTCATTTATTAAGTAGGAAAAATAAAAGAAAAATGAAAATTTATTTTCTAAATTTCTTTCTTGATTTAAATTCAATAATAAAATAAGGTAAAGTCAATTGATACTGAATTAATCGGATGATCTGAATAAATGCAAATTTTGGGAAAATTGATAATGAAATATTACCGATTCTAATAAAATAAGCTGCTGCAATAATCAAAATTCATTAATAAGAACAATGTGACAATTCTATTTAAAAATAAATGCTTTTTAATGCAACTACAGGAAAAAATTTATATTTTTTTAAATGATTATTCTATATTAATAAAAAAAAATTAAATAATAATATTGATATTATATTGTTGTAAATTATAAATAAATTTAAATTGTTAAATAATTAATACTTTAAGTAATAAATTTCAGTGAAAAATATTATAATTAGATAATTAAACATTAAATTAAAAGCAAATAAATTTATTTATAATAAATAAATCAAATGTTGTGATTTCAAACATTTGGTGCATTTTGATTATTGCAGCAGTTAATTTTTTTCAACAATAAACACAATTTTATTTTAGTGTAGCATCTCGTGCACCAGTGTCGTCCTGCGGTTCCGTGGTGCAATAAAACCTATAATGGAATCGGTGACACACATTACGTGAAGAGACGGAACCGAAGACAGAATTAGTGACGGACGTTCTGTGATGAGACGGATCGAGGATTCAATTTTTCATGTAATCCACCTCAAGTGTTATGAACCAAATTTAATAGAATTAATTAATTTTAAGTATTGAAGATGAAGATAATTATGTTAATGTAAAATCTCAATAAAATTTTGCTAGTTTTACCGAAAACTTATTTGCAATGTAAAGCATCTTTTTAAATAAAACTAAAATTTCTATTTTTTTAATTAAAAAAGAATGTAAAAATTTGTTTCTTTTCACCTTGGATTGCGGGTGCAAGTTTGGCCTTCTTGGTTGCGATTATCTGGTTGAGCTCGAGGATGGTCTTGGACAGCGCCTCCAAGGAAACTTCCTTCTGCATGTCGAGCTGCGTCTTGGCCGCGTCCACCTCCTCCAGTTGCGACGCGGTGCTCGAATAGCCACTGAGGCCAAGTCGGCGCTCTTCGTCCGCCAATTGTCTCTGGGCCAGGTCGTGGTTGGCTCTCAGGACTTCGAGCGTGCGGGACAGCACGCCACACTCAGCCGTCTGACTGGACAGTTGGCTCCTGCGCGCTTTGAAGAGTTCGGTGCGTGGCTTCAACTGCGCCAGGTAGCGCTTGTACTGCTCTTCTGTCAGAGGCATCTCCTCGCCTGGCAACAACTGCCCTTGGATGTGCTGTCAAAATTCGATTTGAATTAGGAAAAAGTTTTGACTGCCGTTTCATTAATAGAAATTCACTTGTTTGAGAGTAGCTTTTAAATAATGTTATTTCATCATATTCCTGATTTTTTTGTGTGTGCCAAAAATATTCATTTATAAAAAAAAATGTGTAATGGACAAACAAAGAAAATAGATTAAATTAAAATTTTCCACCTAAATTTATGAAGAATCAACATTAGTTAGTTAAAAAAAAGGAAATTAAGCAAAAGAAAACGTTTCTTCAAAATTTCACAACTTTTTTTTATCCACTAAATTTATTTGCTATGCGCACATTCAAATTTTATGAAGCAATGATAATAAAATAATCATTGCGATGTTTAATATCAACATTTTTAATATTCGTTTGTAAAATGTTGATTAATTAAAATTAATCAAGTTAATTGCGCTGTCACTTCGCAAGCATCAGTTTTGAATATTTGGATTTTTGTTGCAGGAGGGGCTCCGGGAAATTTGCAATTTATTCTGGTTGGTGTGGATTTCCACTATGGCCTCTGCGGCATTGTTCGGTTTGTGGGAATTTATTTACGAGCAAATTGATTTTTGATGGCATCTGTTTGGGGGGGATTATCGCGTCCATTAAGCATCCGCGCACGGCAATTAATTTACCAGTGTAAAAGGATTTGCATGTATTTGTGGGAATTCGGTGCGAGCGCAGCTGCTCCTTTCTCATTCGCTCTACGGTGCTTGTTACCGTGCGCGCGGAAAGTCCACAACAGAATGCAAATTTCGTTATCTCGTGTACGTCGCATGGAAAGGGAATTACTCTTGTAAGACGCTAATTACATTGTGGATTAGTTTTGCAGCAAACTTTCCGTGTAATGAAGCAAGCATTTAACGAGAGCTTTGAGCTAATCTTGAAGTTCTCCGAATGCAAGTTATGCAGCTCGTTGAACACAATTATCCGCTTTAATTGTGCCACCAAAATGAAAATTTTACTTCTAAACCCAAACATGTATTATTTTCTAATATTTTGAATAGATAGATGTTAAATTAATTAAAATTTATTTTCAGAACAGAAAAATTGGTTACAAATTGTTTTAAATCTTTTCTTTTTCAACAGATTAGGATTTTAGAGTTAAAAATATTTATGTTATTTATCTGCAAGAAAATGTTAAACGCATTAAAAAAATTAAATGATTTTTTGGTTAAATACAGCTCCTCCAGTTTTGGTCCCGGTCTATCATGAGAAGGAAAAGAAATACAAAAAATTTAGCCAATTTTTAAAAATTTCTTAGTAAAAACAGTAAAAATGAAATTTTACTAATCTTGTTCTCTACTTCAATTTTTCTACTTCAAAATTCAAAGTCGAATTGGTTTACATTAAAAAGTTGTGAATTTTTCTGCTCGTTTTCACTCCTCTTGTGCTCAAATCTTTTCCCAATTTAAATTTCAAACATAGTAATTGTTTGATATCATAAAATTATGAAGAGTTTTATATTAAAAATATTTTCCTCACTTCAAGTTTTGCTTTCAACGTTGCCGACTCTCTCTTGAGATCTCCAAGGGCCTCTGCGGCGGCCTCCTTCTTGCGGCCGAGCATGGCCGCCTGCTGTTTGAAAGGGGCGAGTTTGTCGTCGGCCGGGTCGGTCGCTGCCATTCTGCGCTCGAGCAACGCGTTCACCTCTGTAGATAGGGTGCGCACCTTTTACATGAAACACGGTTCATTTTAATTGAAAGTGATTGAAAAGAGGATTGGAAGTGAATGAAAAAGATTATGAGCGAGAACGACGAGTGAGTACCTGTTGCTCGACTTGGGCAAGGTCCGACCTCGTTAGACACGTTTGCGACGCCACCTCGCGCAGCAGTTGTAATTGCGTTTGGGCGCTTTTGATGTCAGCAGGGATTTTCTCGTTGGCGATGTACGTGGATACTTTTTCTTCCTCTTCCGCCCTTTGTAGCAGACCTTTTGAAAGGGATGAAAATAATGTAACGCCGCAGAAAGATGTTTTGGAAGCTCGTCGTGCATCAATTTTAAATCTTGTCAAAGAAAAAGGGAGACGACTAAAGCCGGTGGCGACAGGAGATCTATGGAATACTATCAACTTTATGCCAAAAATAGCTTTTTTCCGAATGCCAATAATATGAAGCTTGGAAATTTTTACTTTTGCAACTATAATAATTATTGCTGTTGAAAAGAAACTGTAGAACTGTTTGTGGTTTTTAAATTTAAGAGTAAATTTTTTTACTTTTTATTTAAATTTCCAAATCGGCACAGAAAGAAAGAAAATTATAAAAAGTTTACTAATTATTTATTCCCTAGTTTATTTATCTAGTATTTTGTATTGCATTAATAAAATTATTATTCTTAATAATGAAATATTTTATTAATATGTGTTAGCTTCCTCAAAGTTCAAATATAGAATTGAAATCTAAATTTTCTTTGAACAGTCTCAGGATTAACAGTTAATTTTACGATTGAAGATACCAATTGTCCTCATGTGAAGTTTACAATTGATTTAGCTGCTACTTTATGAAGATTCAAAGCTTAAATGATACTGTCTTTTAAATTTTTTTATCTGCGTTAATGATAAAAATGCAAAAATAAGTAAATCCCATTTTGCAAAAAGGACGGACGCATTAGCTGCAAAAAGAAAACTGTATGCATCCGCAGGAAGTGCCCCTTTTCGCTCGCTCGCTCTCTCTCCGCCTCAAAAGGCAAAAGTGCACAAATGTGTTGAGCTGCTCTGTGTGTTTCTGTCTCTCTTCCTATAGCTTTTAGCAATCCCCAGGCGCATTAATATTCCATTTCCTGGCCGTGTCTGCGCTTTTCCCTTTACCTTGCGGAGTGACTCCGTGGGCCGCCCTGCGAGCTTCAGTGACCTGCTGCTTGGTCCTGGCCACGAATCGCTCCAGCTCGGCGCAGGTGGTCTGAAGACGCGCCTTCTGCTCCAACAACATGTCCCTCTTGGCCCGCGCCTCCCGCAAGGCTTTCACTCGAGCCAGCAGAGCCGCGTTTGCTTTTGAGCCCTCAACCTGCCAAAATTGCCCAGAAGGCCAAAGATTACTTTTCACTCAACGATGATGCCTTTTTGGATTTCTCTTTTTACTCTTAAAAAACAAAAGGCCAACTTGAATATAAGTAAAAAATTAATTATTTAGGGTAATTATTTTTGAAAAATTTTTAAATGAAATAATTTTATAATTATTTAAAAATTTTCCGCTGAAAAAATTAATATATAAATTTTACCAAAAACAAAACTTTCATTTCAGCCTGCTTTTCATAATTATATTTAATTCTCACATTATCACCAATTGATTAAAAGTTTTATTTTTAAGCTGTTTTTTTTTTTAATTTCCCAAAAGGATAAACACCTTTGATTTTCTCTTGAAAAAGTATCAATTTCAACGTACGCGAGTTTTTTGCAGAGTGGCTACTTTGGCGGCCACGATTTCCCGTTCACGTTCCATGACGGCCAAATCTCCCCTGAGCTCTCCGGCGTTGCTGCCACCAGACACAAGCTGCTCGCGCTCGCGGTGCGCATCTTTAAATGCCTCCAGTAGCTGTTCGTACTGCGAAAATGACTCTTTGTTGTAGTTAAAAATTAAAAGCAAAATATTTCGTGGCCAAAAAATATTATGGGCTTCAATTAAACTTTTGTTGCGAAAAACAGCAATTTGCTAGAGTGCATTTTGCCGTTTTGAGTCGCGAATTTACGTTTTCATAAAGCTCCTCTAGATTAGAGTCTCCTCTGAGCGCAGCTGGGACTTCAATTTTCATTAAGTATTTGCCCAAGTAGGCTCTCTTTTCCAGCAGCTGGCGTTCTCTCAGCAGCCACTCCAAAATGGGCAGTATTATCGACTTTTCGCCGACGAACAAGGATTGGGCTAGGTCGTACCTATGAAGTACACGCTTAGTACTGGAATTCATAAAATATGAAGAAAAAAACCAACTCTGTGCCGCTGGGTGGTCTGTACTTCATAATGTATAGCGAGTTGAGCAACCGCTTGACTGTCATCTCTCGGTTCTCGGCACGAGTATCAACTTGGTCCTTCCCTTCAATAGTGCATGAAACGTTGCTCAAAATCTGAGGGATAAATATTAAATAAATATCCGTGTCAGCAGATTGAAGTTAAAAATTTAAAAACCTGCACGAGTTGATCTGGTTGGTATCCATCAAATTCGATAATGTTGTAGTTTTTCTTCGGGTACAGAGCTTTCAGCTCGTCAACAACAAATTTAAGTTGCGAAGACATGATTTTAATCCTTTCCTCCGAAACGATTTTGAATTTGTGGTATTTTATTTTGGCATTTTGTTGCTATAGCGACGACTTTATACCTCCACTCTACAAGGGCCGAGGCACCCTCTGTTTGCCGCCACTAGAAGCGAACAAAAAGTTGCGCATGCGCTGTGGTCGCGAGAACAGGCTGATCAAGCGAAAAGGCGCCAAGACAAGGCAAAAAGTAAACAGACAAATATTTTTCATCGCAACTCAAATTCAGACGCACGTAAGTGGTTTAATGGATAATTTTTGACCCTTTTATAATGATCTTTCTTATAATTAGACGAAAATGAGCAAAGAAATGAGGAAGGCCGACATGCAGGCTGCCTCCGAAAAGGCAGTCCCACCTTTGGATGAACTCGTTCACAAAATCCAGAAGATCATAGACAAATTCCCAGAGGACTACCTGAAAACCGCGTTCACTGACGATTTCAATGAAAACTTCGGAGGCTCGCTCAAAGAAAAAATTCTGAAGCACGCTGATGAAATTGCTCGCTTCTCTGGCCCTAATGAATCAGCCGGAACTCTCGTCATTCCTGGTACGGATTATATTTTTCAAAAATGATTTTTTTACTCAATTTTTATTAAGACTATGCTGCCATGGGCATGACCAATCTTGCCATGCAAGCTCTTAACTTTCTGAGGCAACAGATTGATGCGGCCACAAAGTATATCGAGAAACGAAAACTGGATATGAAGGAAACTGAGAAGCATAATGCAATGTATGCAATTAAAATCCTCAAGTGTATCTGGATTACTCATGATTTTTCAATTTAGGATTCAAAATATGACTTCAGCAATTGAACATCGTCTGAGAGACGGAGACGAGGTTGGTGAAATGGGTGCAATGATAGAAATGAACGTCGAAGAGGAAAACAATCTCAAAGCCAGGATGAAAAAAATTGACACGGAGCTCCAAAACACCCTGGTATGTACAATTCTTCAATTATTATATTCAATTCAAAAAATCTATCAATTAATTCTTAGTATGACGTAATTGGAACAATTTACTCTGACAGAGATGGTCTAAAACTGAAAGAAGCAATCAATGTAAGTTTTATTGTTTGCGAGAAAAGAGAATTTTTAAACTAATATTTTATGTTTTGCAGACACTTTGTTCCAAGTCACTTAAGAAAGATGGTGACCCATATATTGAAGTCACTTTCCAAAATCAGATCCCAATCAACACCCTCCGAAGCATGGGTCTTGTTGAGGACCACCCACACAATCAAGGTTATGTGAAGCTTGTTGCGTTGAATTGAGATTTGGTTCAATTTTCAAAATATCAGACTGAATGATTTAAGTGAAACTATATTGATGTTTGTAAATAATTTAAATAAATAGAAATTGGATCGTAATGAATATTCACACTTTGCTTCGCCAAGTGATCTTCTTTATTCGTCATAAAAATAATTGCCTCAACTCAAAGTTAAATCTTAAAAGCTAGAACAACAGTACTTTGCACTATTTACAATAGCAGAATGGCCACAAAATAACCTCATTATATAATTGCGCAGAAATAATTAGTAGGAAACTATTATGGTAATGCCAATAGAGAGTTACATAATAAATTTAATGCTGGCACACAATTGTGCCTAAGGGAAAAGTTCATTTTAAAAAAATCAGCAATAATAAAATTGTGGCCTAAGTAAAAAATTTGACGCCTACCGACCTCTAGAGATAATTGATTGGCTCGGTGCGGTAGGCTTACGAATTTGATTTCCTATCTAAAAGTTAAGCGTATAATTTGTCTGCGGGCAGTCCTAGTACATCTTAATATTAGCAGCATCCACTGAGGGCTTTATACAGTCTAAAACCGGAAAAGGCAACCGCCGCCAGACACACGGTCCAGTGGACAAACTGCCTCTGTCTCTGCAACGCTTCTCTTCGAACTAGAACTTTTACTGGGCCCAGGAGGTTTTGTCTGCTCCACTCGTAGATCGGGTATCGTTGGTTGATGTCGAACAGGATGTTCTTGTCCTTCTCAACCTGGTACTGGCAACAGGGGTCAAAGTGCCACGAAACGGTGTACAGACTGGTGGACAACAGGGACAGCGAGGCTAGGGGCACGCAGACGACTGGCCTGTCCGGCCAAAGAACACCTGAAGAAATTTAGATATTAATTTTTTTTTCCATAACCAATGCCAAGTCTCAATGTTGCCTGCAATAATTGCTCCGAGGCCGAGGTTGAGGGATAATTTGTGCAGAATGTTTCCGACCGAGAGCCACCTGGCTGTCTCGTCGCCCAGCCTTTTGGGCTCGATTACAATGTACTTGACGCCAGCCTCCAGCAAAAGGTCCAGCTGCTGCTCAAAGTATTCGTGCGAGTTCTCCGAGTCGTAGATCTCCCTGACCACCTCCAGGTCTCTGCGGAAAGGTTTGAATTTTCAAAATCATTAGCTCGGGTGCACGACAAAAATGTGTCTTGGAATTACAGCATTATTTTGCCAAGGTGAATCTTACTCGTATTTTTTGTGTTTGCCGGCCATGATGGAGATGGAGAGAAAAGAGTACACATAGCGCAGTGCTGCCCACTCGCGGTAGAAAGATCAAGTTTCAACTCATTTTTTTTTTAATTTCATAATTTATTTATAAAACCTTTTAAAATTCATTTTATTTATCTTTATTTAATTGGAATCAAGAGTTAAACTGATCTAATAAATTATGGAATTTTTCAAACAAAAAATTACATAATTATTTAATAAAATAAAATTAGGGCCTGTTTGTTTAATTGATTTTTAAGAAATGTGTTAAATCTATTGTTCTTTTAAATCAAAATAGTATCATGTGCATTCATAATTTTCTTTTTACTTGGCGTACATTCAGGTTAATTCTGGACCATTGCAAATATTCACAGCAGCGCTTCCAGTCTTCCGTTTCGTCTTCAACTTCGAAACCTTTCCACCTCGGAAGGTCTTCGCTGATAGGCTCGATCCGAGGCACTCCATGGTAACTGAGTCTGCAAGGTCCAGACATGATCACAATGTCTCCGCTTTGAATGAGGAGTGCCAACGGGTGGTCGTTTTTGTTTGTGCTGCCTAGTAGAAATATTGCGTTTTGGCCAAAACTTGAATCAAAAATGTAATTATTGTCAATTATCAACATTTAAATGTGAATTATATGCTTTCAACACACCTAAAGGAAAGCAAGGGTGCTTCAAAATCTTCTTCCGAGTGGTCAATGTGTCCGGCCAGGGTGGAATCAAAATGGTAAAAATTAACGATAGCTGCTTCGGCAGTAAAATCTTGGAAACCAGATGTTGCGGCAACAATTTTTGATAAATCTGCCAACTCCTCTGGAAAATTGGATCGATTTTCTTCCGAATAAACCTGGATATGAAATAAATTTACAGATTAAAAATATTTAAAATCCATTTTTTACTTTAGTGTCCCAATCGTGGTGATAGCCCAAAGTGGACCACCTGAGCTTCTTTTTCAAAATGCTGCTTCTCTCCTCATCTCTGTTAATAATTGAATTTATTTTATGCAATTTTAAATTAATTTTTTAAATTACCTATTCGACATTTCCCACCAGTCCGGTAACCCGTTTCCAACCTGCCACTCAGGGTGCGCGTCTAAATTTAATTTGTACGGAGGCTTTTTGGTGTAATCCTTCAAACTTCTCTGGATCCACGCCTGCTGACCCTGACTGGTGAAGGGGTTGACAATGTAAATTAATCCTATAAATTATTACATTATTAAATGATTAAAAAAAAAAACATGTGGAAAAAATACCTGGATGACTATTAAAGGTTAAGATCGTCCAAGAGCTTGGATGAATGAGACCATGGACCTGGGAATTTTCAAAATCGTTGTCTTCTAATATTTCGGTTTCAGGTCTGATTCTTTTGATCTGTTAAAAATTAAAATAACTATTAAATTATAAAAATAAATTTTTTTGCCACTGAGAAAATTTTATGATTAAGAAAAAAATTACCCCGTGACTTTCCCAAAGTTCTGGAAAGGTTGGATTGACGACGGCACATAAATCAGGTAAAGGGACTCTCTGCTTGTAGTACTTAAAACTTTCATCAAAGTTCGACGACTCAGGCAGAGGGTCTGCAATTTGGCACTTCTTGTCCGAAAATTTCTTGCGCTTCACTTTTCTCCTCGGTCGACTGTCCATGCTTCGGAAAATTGCAGCCAAATTTCTGCGAGGATATCACGAAAATGTCAAATTGATTTTGGAAAATTCATCTCGCTGCTGCAAGAACGCAGATTTCTGCTCTTGTTTATCTCATCACATGTTTTCGTAGCTGCCGCTCGTGGCATTGGTCGGATTCGTCCAAGGCTGCAAATAAGCGCGCGAATGTCGTGAGCAATGGCCACACGGGACATTTGAAACGTAATTTCCGCAGAAACTTTTCAAAATTTTCCTCTATTGTGTGAAGTCGGCCGGGGGCCGCAAGATTTCGAGTTGAGACTTGGGTGCACTTGCACCCCAGTTGTATGATAATGAGATTTGCACAACTTCACCATATTAGTTTTGATGCGATTTTCATAAATTTTTGATTAAAAATGTAAAAATTTTCAAAATTTGCGGGTTATCATTTTTGATGACCCGAAACTTTCAAACTCAGATTTGGAGATGTGCTGCATGATGAAAAACATTTTTTAGATTGCCATTAAATTCATCATGAAATTTTACGTATAATATGTCAAAATTGCGATGGTGATTAATTAGGAAAATTATAATTACTTTATTTGTAATAGACGCAAAGTAAAAATATTGGAGACTAAAATTATCCTCTAAAAACAAAGCGGCGAGCGCTCTAAATAGGAACTCGGCAAGCGGGACGACTAAATTATAGACCTGAATTTTAAAAGCGCCGCTTCGGGGGAAAAAAATTATTGCTCGAAAGTCAGAAATAGTCGGAAAAATAAAGTTATTTTAAGGACTGTGTTAAAAAATAAAGCGGCGAGTGCTCTAAATAGGAACTAAGAAAGCGGGACGACTAAACAATAGACCTGAATTTTAAAAGCGCCGTTTCGGGGGGGAAAAAATTAGTGCTCGAAAGTCATTGATATTTATATTGAGCACAAAGCCTGATTTTCAACTTGAAGTTTAAATTTCTCAAGCTTATATTTTAATTTAGACATTTTTGAAATTAATCTGTATTATTTGCCGAATTTTTTTAAGAGGGTTGAACAGATATATAATCATATAAATTTATTTGATTTCCTTTTTGATATATTCTAAAAAAACCATTACAACTTATTTCTATAATAAATACAAATTGATTTGACAAGCTTTATATTTTCAGGAATAAAATATCTTAAAGAAAAGTTGAGAGATTTTTAAATGTCAACCAGAATGTTATGCAAGTAAGGAAATTTTCTAATTGGATAGAAATAAATTGTATAGTTTGACCAGTTTTTTTCATTATTTCAACCAAGAAAGTCCTTGATTGGCTTGACGAGCCAGGAATTTAAACACGACCAGGAACTTTACGAAAACACAAGTTGCGTTCGTTAACAAGCTGTTCAAAATTATCCGAGTAAAGTGGAGAGTGCGCTCTCTTGTTAATCGCACGCAGGTTAATTAGCGTGAAGTACGTCAAATCAATTAAGACCGCGGTGACCCCGCGAGAGATGAGCCTCCAATCAAATCACCTAATAAAATTTAATCCGAATGACCGAAAGCGACTTTCTTGTCTAATTAATTAATTGAACCGGTCTTGAAAACTTTTTCGCGCCAATGCAATGCGCGGCGTGAGCTCATCTCAAAATAAGCGACCTCGTTAACGCGGCGCACTCTTGTCGTTTCCCAATCGGCCACAATATTGTATTATATAACCCTTTCGACGCATTGTGCTCTCGGCTTGAATAATTATATCAACTCGAAAAATTCCTCTCTCGCCATTCCGCGTTCACGCACGACGGCTTGCGCTAACAAGTGCTGCGAATGCATTCATCAATGCATCCTCCTTCTTTCATTGTGATTGCGATTGTGCGTCCGCAGCGGCTAATCAAAAGAATCCGACGAGAGTGAGCTAATATTTATTTGGTCTCACAATCAAAGGTCTTGGTCCTTAAGTTTGTATGCTTGACAATGCGTTCAGCTTGTATGAATTTTTGACGAGCAAGGCCGCACTGATTTCTCTCTGATTGCAATAGAGCTACCGAAAAGTAAATCAAGTTCAATTTGGTTTGGTTTTGCACATAATAGGAATCATAAAAAATTCTTCTTGTAGTAAAAATAACTTGTATTTTATATTTTGTTTTAGTTTGATATTATTTATTAATTAGCTTTATAATATTATTATTTTATCACAATTAAATTAAATTATTATTTTGCTTTTATTAATAACATTAATAAATTTAAACTTTGCCAATTTATATTTTTATAGATTTGGCCACATAATTGATTGGAATTTGAAATACGCAATCAAAGAATACACAAAAAATTTAAATAAAAATTTAATAAATTGTCTAAAAAATTTTAGTATTCCTTAGCAAAGGCACTATTCAACTAAAATGAAATTGTTACAAATTGCTTTAAAAAAATTTACTTGCTAATTAATGTTTTCAAATTTTAAATTATTTATAATCAATAATCCAATTTATTTATTGCTTTAAATTAAAATAGAGGTGGAGAACTGGAAATAAAATTCACGAGTAAGGAAGCTCCAAATTTCGTTCACAAAAGTAAAAGCCTTAATTGGACAAGCGCATAATTAATAAATGGAAACGCCTTCTTCACTTCAGGTGCATAGTTTCAAGTACTCTGCCAACCTTTGACCCGCAGACGTGAGCATCGCGCGCCTCGCTTTTATCAACGCGTCTCATCTTTCACGTTATGTTCACGAAAAGCCGCTCTCATCTTTTTACAGCCCTCCACACGCCCATGATCACATTAAGTAATTCCGTGTCGGAGAGTTGAAATAGGCAAATCAGCCGATTAGCGAAATAACTTGTGAGCAGGATAATCAATATTGGTTATTTTATTCTCTGTTCATTTCGTCGAGTTCGTGCATGCGTTCTTTCTGTATCGCAATACTTTTCTACAATGCCTTTTATTGCCGAGAGAGAGAGAGAAGAGAACACACTTCAAGTGACGCAATGAAGGATTCAATGATCCTTTTAAGCTAGCTCTATATATTTATGAGTTGATGTTTTGTGTTCAAGACGATAGCTTACATTCCAGATTGTTCAATTTGAACACGGAGAAAAGAAAACTCTCAACACAAATAAGTCATTAAATACCTGAACTGTTTCAATTATTTACTCTACATTTTTAATTTTATACCTTTAAAATATTACAGAGTATTTAAAATGCACTTCAGAGGGGAAAAATTTTTTTTCTATTTAATTTTCCAATTTTATTAGATTTTTGTTTACTCTTTACAAATCAATATAATCAATAAATAGATCGTCGAAAAATTCCATTCATTCAATTCGTTTATTCTCTCACAAGAAGTCAAATATTATTTTGGGGGAAAAATTACATTGAAGAGAGAATTGGCAGCCAGCCCTAGTAAACAACTTACTAAAACTCATAAACTCAATTTGAAAGCAAAAGTGTTTCCAAATTAAATCTACTTGCCGAGCTGGAGCCGAAAAGCGGAAATTTTAAACAACAGTCAAATATTCTTTACATGCAATTTTAAACTGAGAAACCGTACAATTTTTTAACGCAGTTGGCAAGGAATTCCACAAAAATTGAAAACTTAAAAACTAGCCGCGGTATATTTTATTAAAATGTCCTGATATTACTTGTTAACATTTTAGCATTTTTTAGTGCTAAGTAACTAAAAATTTATTAAAAATTCTTGTTTACTTGTAAAGTTGGATTTATAAATTAAATCTGTTGAATATTTTTTTTTAACTCTTATAGAAAATTGCATTTTTATAAAGAATAAAAGCAGATCAGGACTCTAATTTAGAACAAGACACACTCACTTTCAGTGGCACAACGACTTGCACGAGAGTCTTTGTGCTCGTCTGCTTTTCCTTTTCTGAAGGATGCGGATGCAGCGCGTGCTGCAACGGAGAGCTAAAAAGGCGCAGTGTGTTTTTCTGCTCTCGTCGATCGGCGTCGGGAGCACTTTGTAGGCTTATGGTATGGTTATAGAGTTATAGGTGCATCTGCATTACAAACTACTGGTCACGACCGCCGCCGCTCAGAGGGTATCTGCAAAAAAGAAATGGGTTTTCCTACCTAAGATGGTATTCCTCTTTACAAGCGAAGACCGACTGAGAAATGATCTCGCTTTGATCTTTTTTGCTGTCAGGCAGTTCAAATGCCGAGATCAAAAGGCTGCTTTTTGTGATCTCTATATACGTGTGCAGCTGTGAATGCACCGAGATTCATAGATGCATCGAATAATTATCATATATAATTGAGCTTCATTATTATACCGTGTATGTAGTTGACATCGTTTGGAGTGAAATGAAATCCTCATTGTTCAGTGATCGCGATTCATGCATACATGGAGATTGCTGCAAAGGCGCATTCCGTTAATATAATTTTAATCATTTATTCAATTTTAATGATCAAATTTGTAATGATTTTTTTTGTAGATGCAATATTTTTGTTTGATATTTGATCTAAATTTCAAATGTTTTGAATTTTGAATGGAGTTTAAATAAATTATTAAAGCTTGTAACAAAGTCTGCTTTCAGATTTTATTTTTCAATTTCCCAATAGTGAAACTGAACAAAAAATTATTTATGATAAATGTTATTGGAAAATTCAAAAATTCTCTAAGATATTAAAGAAAATGGAAATATAAGGAATAATCCGTGGAAAATTTAAATTCCTAAATTCTGGGGAGCATTTCTATTATGAAATTTTGCCATAATTCCCAAATCGCCTTGAAACTTCAAGTTCAGAAAAGGACTTTTGCTAACAATTAAAAGACCTCGCAATAATTCTTTCTCGGTCAGTTAAACATCTTCTGATTTTGAGGCCAAGGATGTGGCTCTTCTCGTCTGCGATGATTTACAATTTCAGAGCATAATAATTTCAAAATTGGTCTGATATGAAAAAACGAAACAAGTAGTGTTGGTTATAATTCAATGCATATAAACGCACACGTGTCATGAGGATTGCATAACTTCGCAAGTTTGTGGCTCGCAAGATGGATTGATGCTCTCGGCCGCAAATTCAATCTCGATTGCAGACTAATTAAAATATGCAAACTACTTTCGCCACCGTATTGAAAGTTTGCAGACGCGGAAGACAAAAAATATTGAATGATGCTCAGCTCATTGAAAGATCGGGCGATT